AAGTGTCCCGCATGAGCGGCCAGGTGAACGGCTGAAAAGCCGGGTGGGACATTGCCTGAGCAGTGGCTGAGTCCCACTGCGCGCACGGAGATCCCGTGCGGGAGCTGATGGCGATCGCCAATACAGCTTTCACTCCGTCCAACGTGTAGTTGGCGAAGAGCGTGCAGTGGTAGCCCGAGCTGGGCGGCATGACCTGGTCCCTCTCGGTGAGCACGTTGATAGAACTGGCTGCATTCGACATGATCTCGTCGATGAGCCTCTCGTCAGTTTTGTCGAGCACCAGGATGGAGCCATTCTCGTTGGTGTCGCCGTTCTGCACAACGATCGCCTGCTCCACGAACTCCGGGATCTTCTGCTCGAAGGGGTTGTGACTGGTTGGAGCCGATCGCTGTCCCTCTCCGACGCGATCGCGGTGTCCCCAATCGCCGCCACCAGAGTGCCATGTGCCCAGGTAGCCTGAGCTCCAGGGTGGGCGATCGCCAGCCGTGGTGTCCTCAGGCAAAGGATCCTGAGGCTGCTGGCTGCGAGCGGCGTAGAGCCCGTTGTCATTCTGCGGCATCGAGTTCTCCTGGACCGGGGGGAGGCGAGCGCTCGAAGGAACCGGAGGGAATGAGGTTCTCGACGACATGGCGATCGCCTTGATGGATCTACCTCTGCCCAGGCCAAAGAAAAACAATGCCCGCTCGGATCTTGAGCCAAAATGGCCACGATCGGGCAGGATTGAAAGCTTGTGGGTCTGCTCTTGCGATCGCTGCAACTGACCCCTAAGTTCCTACCCGCCATACCGAAAACTTAGGGGACATCTGGTTCATGCCTGCAAGTTGTCAGCTTGAAAACTTAACCGGGCAACTCCAGCAAGGGTGAAGAACAGGGTCATTGCCTCCCCGCATGCAAAATCTCCTAGCGCAGCAGCATGGGATGTGACAAGACGCACGGACATTCGGAAGTCTCCAAGCATGTGTTCGCTCCTGCAAACTTGAGTTGAAGTGCTCCGTACTGAGGCGCGCGATCCACGGCCTTCTTACCCTGGCGTGCAAGAACTTCGGGGCACGGCGCTTCTCAGGCCTCCTTCAGCGAGTTCAACAGCGCGCCTTCTTGACCGTTTTCTTCGCCTTACTTCAGTCATGCTAAAGCAGGGCGCCGTTACGCACAAGGCACTTCGTGCAAATTCGAAATTGGAACTAAATCTTATTGTCCTCTGAGCCTAGTGGCTGCTTTTTTCCAGTCGACCAGCCAGCGCCTTGGATGAGGATGAACATGGATGAACCTATTTGCAAGACCCTCAAGGCACCACGCTACTTAAGCCCTGTTTAGCTCGCGCTTTTTGTACTGCTTTGCTAGGATTCCCGAAGCTACCCAGCAGGCACCTGTAGCAATTCCTGAAGAGAGAGGAATGTCAGAGGCGTCAAATGCTCCAAATAAAACTGCGACAGTCTTGGCTCCTCACAATATTACAGTACTGCACATTACATCTGCAGGGGCTCTCAGAAGCTGTCATCCTGCCTGCGCTAGAACTCGCTAGCAAACGCAACACATCTTCAAATTGCACCAGTCTTACAGCTGTTTGAGCCTTTGTTTTGAGATGGATGAAATACCACCTGGAGATCCTCAGAACCTGGATGGCGAAAGCAGAAAACAGAGGGCCAAACAGCTGTCAAATGCAGGCCCTCCCATACGCGTACTTGGACTGAGCCGCTCTCCCGGAGTAAAAAGCAGCCGAAGACCCTCAAATCCAGCGACCGCAAACGGCGGAGATACCAAGGCTGACCCACAGCTCACACGGAGCTTGGCCTGGAGGCAACAATTCCCCTTTGCCTCCTTGCAAAACACCTGCTGAAGGGCTGAGCTTGCTCACGATTGGATACTGCAGTTACCTCTAAGTCCACGCCCCTTGTTATCTGCAAGCTGCCCAGCAGAACCGGCTGTTAACAGTAGCAATCTCCAGAACGCTGGCCTGTGGGTTGGCGATATGCCACGTCACCTGTGTGACAATGCTGCTCAAAGTACGAGATGTCGTAACCATCAGTCCTTTCTGATGGTCTGCTTCCTGGCAAAACAGACTGGAGGAGCTTCTTGACGAAGGAGACTTGAGATACAAGCTACCATGAGCCACCCATGTCTGTCACCACATACCTGTAGCCTGCACCTGTTAGCTTCTGTAGGGCCCGCCTTGTCACTTTCCAGCTCGCAAGAGGGCGTCAAAGGAGGGGACGGAATCATGTTTTCCAAGCCCGGAGGAGCAGATACCTCGAGAATCTCCAAGCCAGGTGGCGCGCACACCTGAGAAGGGTACGTACGGAGGATCGCCAAGTTTCGGTAAAATCTGTCCAGTGCTTGAAACTCTTTGCTGTGGATCGTGGTGCGAAGCTGCGGAGGATGATGGCACAAGTTCTAAATACGAGGCATTTGGTGTCTCTGCTTCTGCTGCACTGCGTCGGTGGAACTTTCGCGTCTCGCCCCCATGCTCTCGAAACGACTCTGAGTTTAGGTGGTGCACTGTTTTCTTCCCAAAGCCACTCTGGGGTTGGGTTCTTCTTTAGGTTTCCCAACGGGCGGGCAGCGATACGGAATTGCCACGCCGTGCGGCGCGGCCGGTCAAGGCCTCCGAGTCTTCGGCGTCTTGGGGCGGTTGCGGATGGTGGGCCTCCGAGTCTTTGGCGTCCGGCGAGGTTGGTTGCGGAACCGTGGTGGCGGCTAGGGAGGCTTGCGGCTAGGACGGGGTGCGATGCGTCGGATCATGATGGCGGCTAGGGAGCGGCCGTGAGGATGTGGGGTGCAGGAGAGAGGCGGCTAGCTGCGAGGACGGGGTGCGGCGCAGCGTGCCGCGGGTGTGCGGCGCCAAGAGAGGTTGGCCGCAAGAACGGGGTGTGGTGGCGACGGTTGAGAGGATGGCCAGCACGGTCGCTGCGAAACCGGGATGCAGTGCAGTGCGGCGCGGTTGGTGAAATCATGGGGCAGGACAGGGAGGGATAGGGACCCGGTGCGTCGCTGGTGGTGGTACAGCGCGGCGCAGGTTGTGGTGCGGCTGTATCTGCGTCAGCATTCAAAGCCCCACCACTCCCCCCTCCCCTAATGGTGCATGATGTCCATGATATAGAATAGGACTAACCTAACCCGCCCCCCCCCTGTGGTCCTGTGGTCTGGGATTGGTGGTTTAATTGACAGGTTTAGATCAAGGTCATAGAAGCTTATAGTGTTTCTGGCAGACGGTTCATTAATTCAATAGCAGGTGTTTAGAGGTCTCAAAAGATTTGTTGAAGGGGCTTCTAGAGGCTCTCTGAAGGTTGGATAGAGTGTTATACAAATCTTATGGAGAAAGATTGTTGCTAGAGGGTTTATAACAGTTTTATGAGCTTAGATAAGTTTTGCGGAGAGTTCAGACGGTTGTGGGAGGTCATCGATATGGGGCCGCGAGGATGCTGGCGGCCAGGGAGTGCGGCGGCAAGAATGGGGTGCGGCAGGGAGGGCAGCCGCGACGGGGCGTGAGGATGGGGCGGATGGGGTGTGCAGCGGTGTGGCAGCGTAGGGGGTGGAAGACGGGGTGCGGTGTTGCGCGGATGCTGCAGGTAGGGAGGCCGTGAGCAGGTGCGGCGCAGCGCGGCGCGTGGCGCAGGACAGGGAGGGTCCCGCGAGCATGGGGTGCTCCCAGACGTCGCATTTGTGACAGCACGGATAAAAAGTAACACGCTGCTCATGCGGGAAGGTTTTTGGGTTCCCTGGTTGACCTTGTCTAGTTCAAGTAACTCGCGGCCTTTGAAGAGAGCATTGATCCGCAAGACCATGCTGGCGACGTCTTGGAGGAGATCGTCGGTGAACCTTACCAGATGGCCACCCTGTTTGCTCAAACATTTTTGCTCACCAACTTGGGCGACATTTCATCAAGTTGTCTGTAACATGCCAGCCAGCTACCACCAGCTGAAGATCGTGGGGACAAAGTCTCTGGTGTGGCCAGCTTCATTGGTTCCATCTTCCTCTTCACACGTGCAGGGAAGGTTGGGAATTCTGGGCCGCCTTCACATGCAAAGATTACGCCATGCATCCTAGAATGCATTACATGGGCACACTGAACTGTGTGCCGGAGGATCGGCAGTGGCAGAGTTCGGGCACAAGCTAAAGTTTAGAAAGCTTGGCATTACATAGCAAAAGTTGGATTCAGAGATCGGCATGTGGGATGCCAGGTTGTTGCACTTGCACTGGTTCACAGGATGTCAAACCGACTACTTCTCAACCAGCAGGAAAACTGGTACGCATGAGAGGGAACATGGAATCATTACAAGGTTGAGGGATTGTAGGAATTACTGCAGGACTTCCTCTGTGAACAGCAAATCAAGCCCAAGCAAGATCCTGCCTCACCAAAATGGAAGACATCTTTGAGCTGCAGGGGCTGTTCGGCTCCCTGAGCTATGTGAGGAAACGCACACAGTCACGAAAGGATTTGCAATTGGTAGCCACCCTTAATTTACTTTTCCTGGGGAAAGATCATGTCTACTGCCAGTTCCGGACCTTGTCTGAGTCAAGGCGTCCGAGGTGTCTCCTGCCTTGGCAAGCTCCTGCAAAGCATTGGCGTCTCATTTCCGCTATCTTCCGCTTTCAGCAATTGAAGCACATGGCATAGGTGCCTGCTTCATGTCGCTGATCATTGCAGCTTGGAAGGCGGCAAGCTGCTGCAAGCGAAGGTTCTCCATCTGAGAGTTTGAGAGTGGACAGGTGCCAGGTTTGCATGCTGCAGTACCACGAGACGCCCAGCTCTCAGAATCCACGGGGCCGGTCCAATTATCTGAAATCAGGCTTGACTTTTCGCTAGGGTTTTCAACGGTGGCCTGCATCATTGCAGCCCACTGCGCATTCTGCATGCCTTGCCACTGCATCGCTTGCAAAATTCGCTATAGCAAAACGCCACTTTCTATAGGCTTGAGCCCGAGACTGCTCGACGATGCAATCGGAACTCAACGTGAGCACAGCATCAGCACTCAGCATTGTAAAATCTCCAAGGCGTGCGCTGCCACCACACCGCGCGTCGCAAACAAACGTCGTAGCGGTTCTAGTCGAACTGGTGAACTGCTGAAATGTGGCCTTACTGGCACAGTCGGCATCACTGCATCGCATAAATTCGAAAGTCACAATATGGCGCCTGGGAATCTGGGCAGCTAGCATTCGCCCTGGGCTCTGCTCCAAGTCCAGTCTGAGCAGTGCCAGCGCGTGCTGCGGCAGCTGTTCCTTGTCGCCTGATCAAATTTCTAGAACATTTGGCTGACAGGAGCAATGTCTATGGGCATGTCATCTGTGGATCGAGGAGATACCGTTTGCCAGAAATGATTTAGGAGCACACTGGATGGTGTGAAGGAGGGGTCATCCCTATCACAACAGCACCCGCAGCACGACAGCACCCGCGGCAAACGTGCTGAGACGTCCGGTGCGCATAACTAGCAGCGTCTCGAATCGCCAGCCACGGGCAACCCAACAAGCTCATCATGCTGCGCGATGCAATGCATATTGTGCCGCGCGGTGGGTCCGCAAAGGCCTGGATAGGTGCTGGCGGGCGATCTTCTGGGCTGTGAGACGGATGGGTGGCAGTCGAACAGCATGCCAAGCATCATTTCCAACGTTAGAAACCCTACAAGTACAGGTGCTTGAAGCTTGGAAAATCCGATGACCACATCAGCATCCAGTCTGGAAGATTCATCACAAACCTGTCAATATCCATCAGTCATCCGAATCCTTTGACTCACACAATGGATGCCCCGGCCATGCCCTCTTGAAAGTACAACACCGCCACTCAAAAAACCCAACGGCCGTCGCCTCCATTGAGAGTTGCAGGATGAGCATCACCACTGCCGTCCTTCTGTTCGTCTGCGTGCATGTGCGGAAGTGCCAATCTGCTGCAAGCTTTTGCACACTCCTGAAGTTGCCCGTGAAGAGTGAGGACCTCAAAACATCTTAAACATCCAGACAAGCACAAAGCTGGGAGTCTCTCAGCATGCTGTTAGCTGATGAAAAATGTCAGGCGCTGATAGGCGCTGGGCCGGCACAGGGCGCCCCAGCGAGGAAGCCAAACCAGAAATCCGCATCAGTGGCCGGGCGAAGTCGCCTGCTGACCACACCATCAAGACCACCTGCCAGTTGTGCCGGAAGCTTGCCGAGAAAGCTCTGGATTTCAGAATGCAGCGCAATTTTCAATTCAACTCCGAGTGTCGGCTTGTGAACGGCATCGTCGTGAAGTTTCTGCATTCATCTGCATTTGGTAGCCTCCAGCACAGCTGCATGCCCTGCTCACTTGCCAGATTTTAGCGTAACTGTCAGCTGCATCAAATTGCTGCAGTGCGACTTGGGGTAAGTAAATATTTCGTTCGGCAGCGCTGCTGAACGGCAACTCGCTCGAAAGGCGTCAAGGCCTACCCAGAGGTCCAACATCAAACTGTCACAGTTGGTGGTGCAGCTTGAAACGATGATTGCGAAACTCTGTGCAACCCGTGCAACGCAATACCTCACACACTGGCAAAGGCGCATTTGCAGCAGCAGACGGGTAGAGATCCTGAAGCTGCTGAAGCTGCAGGATGACATTTGCACCGGTCATGGGACATGTGCAATAACAATCCTGGCCGCGCATTGCAGTAGAAGTTGCTAAGCGTGAGGAGTCGGAAGTGCTTGGCAAAATTGGAAAAAGATGACCTTGCCACTTAGATCCATGTTCCTGTAAAGCACCAAACAACAGGCCTTCAGTGGTGAAAATGCTGGCACCCAGAAACCACGTCATGGCTTGGGCCAGGTCCTGACATCTCGGAGCACTAGCAGCTGACGAACAGCACCGGAGAACTTCACCCAAATGCTGCCACAGGACTTCTGGCGGCGCCAAGGCCAAATACAGGTACACCAGAGTTTCTGACAGGAAAAATGAATCCATTCTGTCATCAAGCCTCCAAGACATGCATCTTCAAAGAACTTCTGCATATCTGGCACAATGCTTCATTTGCCGCTGCTTTCCTGCCACTTGCCGCATCGAATGGCCTCTTCGTCGTCACGTCGGCGACAGAAGCGAACCCGCAGTTCACTCGGCTTTGGTCGTCGATGGCATTCGCGAGGCTTTTCGCCTTCATGAGCCCGGAGTTCAAATCTGATCTAAAACTTCTTGTGTCTGCCTTGCTGATCACTGGCCGTAGGTCTGTTTCTAATATGTCTTGCGACACCTTGGGCTAAATGATGAAACATATCAGCCCGGTTGGGGCGTTGCTTGTCCTTCTTTGGACGTCTGCCGTTGCCCATGGGTTTCCTTCATATGAATGTGGATCCTCGTCAATGGCAGGGTTCGGCGGTGGAAAACCCGGATCCCCAAGCATCCAAGACGTGACATAACCACTACTCGGTAATCACAGGAGGGAAGGGACAGTGGGCTAAGCTCGCCAGCAGCCGTGCCTTTGCGCAGCTGAAGACTCTCCAAATTTCAGTCAACAAATCAAAAAGCGAACAAACTCTATTTTTTCGCAGAAAAAACGTTCAGGCAGTTTTCGCACAAAGAAGTTCACTCTTTGCGATTAACGACACCTTTCGACTTTTCAAGCTGTTCTCGCAAAAAGCTCACTTTTCGGCTTGTCTAGCAAAAATCAGACAGCTGCTTTTTCGCAAACATTATGCTTTGCATTTTGTGTGCAAAGCCTCAAAGAAAAAAACACTACTTTGCGCAAAACGTGCACTGTTGTTTAGATGTGGCAAGTCTGGTTGAATGTCCTAATGTTTCACTTGCCCCAAGATCTAAGACACTAAGCCCCAAGCCAAGATTCACCTCGATAATGGCAATAGCAGTAGCAATAGTAGAAATTGTAATTGTAATAGTAGTAGAAATAGTAGTAGAAATAGTAGTAGAAATAATAATAGCAGTAGTAGTAGTAGTAGTAGTAGTAATAGTAGTAGTAATAGTAATAGTAGTAGCCAGGTAGTGGTAGCAGCAGTAGTAATAGTTCCCTTCCCCCTTATATTAAACGACGTCCCCCCCCGGTAATACTCAAATAATCGGGGCCCGAGAAAGATATTAATATTTTTGTGCAGCGGTATGCATCAATACTCCAAGCTTGCTGTCATGTTGTGAACTTACTGTGAGCTCACTGGGAAAACGCAACGTAACAGGTCTGCTTGAGGTACTTCCTGCACGTAGGCAGCCCCACTAGCCGACTCCAAAATGGGCGACGGACAGCTAACCTGTGAAGCTGAACAAAAAACAAAAGGGAACTTAGGGCCGACTTAGGGTGTCTGTGCATGGGCGGGTTTGGAAGGTCTTGTAGCCAGTGCCAAGCCTATACGGCGCACTGTTCAGCCCAGTGTATTCTGGGCCTGCCCCTTCTTATGCCCGACCCAACAACCCCTCCCCTATATAAGAAAGATTTTGTGAAACGACAGTTCCTTTCCAAACAGTTCTCCGGTGCTCTCAAGATATGTCCAAACAGCTTCAGCTGTGCCTTGTGAATGTGCTGTGTTAGGGGGGGCTGTGAGGAGAGCTCACGCAGCTCTTGGTTGGTGGTTGTTGCTTGCTCCGGTGCGAGCACTTTGGTGTAAAATGTTGCGGGTATCCTGTGCATTTTGCGGGGGCTCTATGAGTGGAAGGCTTCTATGCGGCGGAGGTCTGGTTGGGTCAATGCCGCCGATTCCATGCCGTACACGACCAACGGAACGAACACAGCGTTATATATCCCCAATTTCCACTGCAACGGGAGGCCGGTGTGTCTCCAGAAGTGATGCAACGTGTTGAAGTGTTTTCTGGCTTTTCGGAGACGCTCCGTCACGTCCTTCCTCGTCGTGCCGTTTCTGGAGAAGAAAACGCCAAGGTACTTCGCGTGCGTCACTTCCTCCACCTTGTCCCCGTGCATGTTGTGGACGCTGTTCTGTGAGGCCTGTGATTTGAGCAGAACGGACTTCTCCCAGTTAAGCTGTAAATTGCTCTGTGAAGCCACCGTCTCCGCCACTGCAAGTAGCTGTTCTGGTCGATCTGCCGTGCCCGCTATCAATTCCATGTCATCAGCGTAAGCCAGATCGTAGAACGGGGTCTGTTGGCTGAAGGCTCAAGCAGTCTCTTGTCGACGTCGTGCAGGACCATGCTGTGGAGGATGAGGAAAAGGTACGGTGACAGGGGGCATCCCTGTCTTATACCCGACTTCGCCTCGAGAACCGCGCTGGTCTGGCCTGCCGCCTTGACTGTGAAGAGCTGTGAGGTATATATGCTGCTGATGAGGTTCACGATGTTGCAAGGAACTCCGTACCAACAAAGAGCAATCTCAAGCGCCTGAACATTGACTTTATCAAAGGCCTTTTTCCAGTCAAGGAGAAGGACGTAAAGAGAACTCTCGGTGCGCTCTGCTCTTTCCAGTAATCTCCTCACCACGTGTATTGGTTGCGACGTTGATCTCCCGGACCTGAACCCGTACTGCGTGTCCCTCAGGTACGGCTCCAAGCCTTTCTCCAGACGTTGCTGTAGTACACGCGCAAGGAGTTGGTAGGCTGTACTCAGCAGGCTGATTGGCTGATAATTGTTGGGGTCGGCCATCGACCCTTAGCCCTTGTAGATTTCCACCACCAATGCTGTCTGCCAACCCTGTGGAATAGCCTGTGAGGAGATGGCTTCTTTGAACAAGTCCAGTAGGTACTGGAGGTTGCTTGTCTCTAGCCACTGCCAGGCCTCTGCTGGGATGTCGTCAACTCCGGCCGCTTTGTTTTTAGCTGCTTTGCGAAGAGCCTCCTCCAGCTCCTCCATGCTAATCGGGTCCGTGTTGACATCGGCGTGCTCCAGGATTGGTGTGTGCTCACCTGTGTAGGGTTGTGCCGGTGGGGCCATTGTTTGTGAGCCAAGTGCTCCGCGAACGCGCTAGCTTGCTTGGAACGGCTGGTGGGTTTTCCATCTTTGCCGAGGATGGAAAGTGGGCGTGGTTTGTGATCCGTGCGGATACGCTTGATCCACTTCCACTTTGGGCGCGCGTCCACTGTCTGCTCACTCTCTGCCAATCTGCCCTTTAGCCATTGTGTTTTGTCGCGTTTGGCTTGTTTGCGGACCTCCTTTTGTGAGCGTGTCTCTTCTTCCCTGTCCCCTTTGTCGCGTGCTGTGGCCCTTTGCTGCACCAGTGCCCAGGTGTTGCTCGTGATCCAGGGCTGTTTTGGTTGCATGGCCTCGTGTGGGATGTGTTGCTGTGTGGCTGTGTGGATGGCCTGTTGCAGCGCTTGCCATCTAGCATTGAGCAAATGCTGTGAGGGGCGTCGGTGTGAGGTGTCCGGTGCCAGGGGTTGCGGTTGTGGCGTGGGTGGTTGTGAGGTGCCACTGGCGGCTTTGGCTGGTGGACCGCATTTATGGAGCCCTTACCATAAATGTGCTTGTTGGAGGTGAGGTGCTGAATCCAACTGCGGTATGCTCTTCTGGCCGCTGCCCGCCTTTGGATCCTCTTTTGTTGTCTATGTTGTCTGGCACCCTGTGATCTATGCTTCCTCTTGAGTTGTGACCTGGAAAGTATTGGGGAGGGGGGAGTAAACTGTGGATGTTGTGTGTGAGGTTGTGTGGTGGGCACTTCGTCGCCGAAAGGAACACTTAGACAGCTAGAGATGCACACGGAGCTTAAGGAACTGTGAAGAACACTAGGTACAAAACTGTCTAAATGGCACAGCGCGCCCAGCTCACCGATGGGAGGTGTGCCTGCATGCATCAGATTTTTGCACTCCTGCAAATTGCCATCCTCAGGTTTGCTGTGAGGAGCAGGTGAGAACAGTGAAAAAGGAGGCGTCACAGAACTACACTGCACCTGCTGCAAGATGCGCCTGCCACTTTCCTACTGTGAAGGACGAAGCTTCCTGTTCTCCTTCTTCTTCTTGTCCTTTACAAACTCAGCCCACTCTTCAAGGCTGTACTTCTGAGGACCTTGTCCAATCCAGTATGCCCTGTGATTTGTGACAGCTTCATCCAGGGCCTGCTGTGAGGGAAAAGGCCAGAAGGAATCTCTAAGCAGCTCTGTATCATCATCATCTGCGCATGTTCAAGGCTTGCTGGAGATGTCACTGTGAGCTCTTTTGTGGCCTGTGAGGGGTTGGGCAGCTTTGGCTTCTGCTACCCCTGTGCCCGCCACACTGTGAAGAGTCTCTTCTTCAGTGACTGTACTCTCTTGATTGCTGGCTGCCATGGTTTGCATCAAATCTTCTGCGCTGCGAAGATTCTTGAAATGCTGTCGATCAGGATGAGAAGCTTCGAGCTTCTCAAACTCCAGTGGCCACGGAAATTCGTACTTGAATCTTGCGACCCAATTCTTTATTCCCTGTTCTTCGCCTGTGGAGTATGTAGGGATCGACTTTGTAAGAAACCTGCTCAGTCTCTTGGCGTCCATGTAGTTGGTGGCTGTGGAGGCAGCAGCATTCTCGATGGCCTCATTCTCCACCTCTGACTGTGAGACCTGAGTACGCAGCTGCTGATACCACAAATTTTTCCAACACTCCAGCAATTTGTCAGCATGCTCTGCCGGAATCTGCACTGAGCATTGCCAATCTGCAATGGCACCTGACGAACTGTGGAGACTCGGCGTGTATACTTGATTCTGCCCAACCAAGCACCCTGTGAGTCTTCCAGAAGCAGCGTCTGCCAGCGAGGGACCAATGGCTCCTTGCTAAACTTGGGGAACGAGTGCTGGTATGCTTTCATCAGGCCATACAGTGGCGCTCCAAGTCAGCGCTCTAACTGTGGAACTCCAGGAGCCAGCTTGATGTATCCTCCTTTGCTCCACTCCTTCACTATGGGAGCCTGCTGTGAGGGGCTCGCCCGTGAGGAGGAGGCCTGTGGAGCTGGCTGTGCGGTATCCTGTGTCGCCGTGGCCGCACTTCTTGTCCGACGAAGGGTCCGGTTGTGGGTTCTCCACATATCGCGGCCTGATCCGGTTACACGCTTGTAGCGCCTTCTGTCTGAATGTGAGGTTGGGCACCGTGAGGATGGAGACCGCGGACAAACTCTCTCTGCCATCGTCTCCAATCATGTGGCCCTCCCTCGATGCGCAGTCCGGCCTCTGTGAGGGCATACTTGATGGTGGCCTCCCTGTCCTGTGAGGATGGCCAGTCCGGAAAGTTGCGGCATACGATGGTGCGCTTGGCCTGTTCGACCTGTCCCTTTCGGTCCACGCAGTTCGGAGCTTCAAGGCCCTCACTTCGGCCTCCAAGCTGTCCACCCTCAAATTGGTGGAGCCGATCTCTGCCGCCAAGGCGCCAAAAGCTGCCCCCATTGCTGGGGCAACTCTGTTCTGCAAGGCTTCTTGCACCATCTTGGCACGCTCACGCACTGAAGTTGGTCTATCAGGATCTACGCCAGAAGGAAGCGCAATCACCCATGACTCTACTGCCACGAGGTGCTGTGGAGGGCCTGCGAAGTTCCCTCAAGCGGATTGTCCATGCGCTCTTGGACCCTGGTCACCTGTTCAGCGAGCTGTGCCCCGGCCTGAGTCTGTTGAGCACTCTGCAACTTGATCTGCTCCATTTGAGCAACAAGCTGTCCTAGCTGGGCTGCAACAGCATCCATGCCTGACTGTGAAGCCATGGCAGTGAGGAGCTGAGGAGGAGAGCAAGGGCAAATCTGAGCACTGGTGAGCTTGATAATATTAATATTAGGTGGGGATATTCATTGAAAGCATCAGATAGGGCTGCCTCTTAAAGCCCTTTTAAACTCCTCTCAATTGAAATCTAATGAGAAACATAGGGAAATCCAGTTAGGCATTACTTGAAACCAATTTAAATCATGTAAAGCCAATTGAAATCCACGTAAAATTCGATTAAAACCGATTTTTTGCAGTGGGTCTTGAGCACCAGCCCAACTTGCCCGCCTGGGCGCTTATGCAAGCACTCGTCGCTCACATGGCGCGCTCCATGACTTGTGTCATTCAGGCATCGGGCACAACTTCAAGCACAAAAATCTTCTCGAAGGAGTCAAAGATACTTCTGCAACATACATATAACCCGGTTTCACAATTTTGCATAACACACTCGCAGATCAGAAGCTGACAAACAAGCCAATTTCCCGGCACTCGAACATAACCCACCAGCAAACGCACGAAGTCCTCAAGCATGCTTGCTTGCAGCGTGAAAGACTGCCAACCCTCATGTTCATCCAGCCAGTTCGCAGTGCAGACAGTAAGATCACCATCGTCGACGACATGAAGGTGGATACACAACGCCCACTTGGCTGCATGTATAAGCGGATGACGCCATGACCCTCAGGAGGAATCTGGTTTGGCCAAGTGCGGAATGTTTTCATTGACCTTCACTACTTTATCAGATGCTTCTCTCCACCTTTCCCGGTCCATGGCCAGTGATCGGAGTTCCTCCCAGGACGGTTGATGCTGAAGCTGGAAGACCTTGCTTGCAGTACTATATGCCCACGACAGAAACATCCCACGCGGCCCTGGTCTCTGCTGTCTCCACGTCCCTTCTTCCCCTTGTCTATGAGCTACAACAGGCGCTGCAGTGTCGGCCATTCTAAGCACATGCCCCAGATAGGTCCACTTGCGACGGACCCAGCTGCAAACCGGCGAGGGAGAAGAAGTGACAACGCAGCGAAACGGTTCTACGTCGCAACTGCAACCTACTTAAAAGATAGTAATATTAGGTGGGGATATTTATTGAAAGTATCAGATAGGGCTGCCTTTTAAAAGCCCTTTTAAGCTCCTCTCCATTGAAATCTAATGAGAAACATAGGGAAATCCAGTTAATTAAGCATTACTTGAAACCGATTTGAATCATGTAAAACCAATTGAAATCCAATTAAAGCCCATTGAAATCGAATGTAAATTCATTTTGCTTGCATCAACTGAAACCTGCTTAGAATTCCATCTAATTCAAATGGAACCGAATTAAAATCCAATTCAACCCATGAAGTCTAATTTGTCCGTTTACGATGAATTGAAATCGAAATCTGATAAAAATTCAATGTAAAATCTTTTGAAATCAAATTAAACTCAGTTTACAAATCAGTTGAAACCACATTAAAGTCCAATTAAAGCCCATTGAAATCAAATTTACATCCGTTGAAACGTAAGTAAAAGTCCATGCTTATCAATTGAAATCAAATTAACATCCAGTTCAAACCCATTCATATCGAATTAAAATCAAATTTAAACGATTGAATTCGAATTTACATCCATTTACAACCAAGTGAAACCTAAAAAGAAATCCATGTAATCATTTGAAATCGAATTAAACTCCATTTGAAAAAAGCGATTGAACACGCATTGAAGTCCAGCTAAAACCCATTGAAATCAAACGTGAATCCATTGAAACCCAATTAAAATACCATTGGAAATCAATAGGAAAACGCCATCGTAAATCAATTGAAACCGAATTTATCAATCCAATTCAAACCGTTGAAATCAAATTTTAAGTTAGATCCATTGACATCGCATTTAAATTCACTTACAATCGACTGAAACCTAATTGAAACTCCATCGAAAATCAATTGAAATCCATTTAGATCAATGGAGATCTAATTCGATCCGGCTAAAATGGTAAAAATCCTTTAAAATCGCATTCAATTCTTTTACATACAACCCCTTACAAAAACAAAAAAAAACGTATGTAAAACAGCAGAAACCAGTAAAACCCCCTACGGACCTCAACGCCCCCAATTCATTCTTGGGTGGCCCCTTTCAAAAGCAGAACGAATTATTTTTAGTAGTCGCCTAGTAGTAGTAGTAGTAGTAGTAGTAGTAGTAATAGCAGTAAGCGCCCCCCTAGGCACTACGTTTGGCTACAATTCATTGTGTCGAGTATACGTTTGGAATGGGGAAGGGTTGGGGGGGTAGTTCCGTTCGAACAAAGTTGAATTATCTTACCTAAAATCAGTTCAAACAAAGCTGAATCATCGTACTTAAAATTCATTATGAGTAGTATACATTGGGAATGGAAGAGGGGTGGGGGGTAGTTCCGGGTGGTAGTTCCGCTCGAGCAAAGCTGAACTCCTACTAAGGGCTAGAGGGTAGTTGAATGGGGGGGAGCTCCGTACGCCAAGTAGCAACTTTCCCTGACCCCGAACTTACCCGACCCCGTTACCCTGGGCACCTCTGAAACCCAGCAAGTATGGCCGCTGCCGTGTCTGTCAGGATTTTTGCGTTATTTTCTCCTATATTAGGCGTACATTTTTGCGGTCAGTGCGGTTTCGCTTACAGGGCTTTGGGGTTGTGGTGCTTACGGGGTACAGGGATTAAAGGATTTCGTTTTTTTTTTTTTTG